TCAGCTATTTTTTTTTTTTCTCTTTCATGCATGATTTTTTCATATCCTTCCTTTTTCTTCACTCTCTCTGTTCTGCCTCGTCTCTCTTCAGACACAAAGACGTATATGTTTATTTCTTTCTGTTAATGTTCCATACAAAATCATAGAAATTTTAAAAACATGTCAGGTTTTGGAAACTTAACCTTTTTTTCAAAGTCTTAAATATCTTCTGTTTCTGAGTCCTGTTTGTCTCTTACTGTGTGCAGGTACTTCATAGGACAGAAGACTATCTGAGACAGGTCCTGGTTAAGGCTTCAGAATCCGTCTACACGTGGGTCATCCAGGTCAAGAAGATGAAGGCCATCTACTATATTCTGAACCTGTGTAGTTTTGATGTCACTAACAAGTGTCTGATCGCTGAGGTTTGGTGTCCTGTCAATGACATTCCCACCCTGCGGAGGGCCCTAGAAGACGGATCGGTGAGGAAGCTCTCAACAGAGTTGCTCTATGTGACTTTGGCCTCACTGCAGGCTTTCTTTTTCTGTTTATTTAACCCGGGCAGTTGCTTCATGAACTGGGGTATTGTTACAATAAAAGCAAGTATTGTGTGAGGCATTGCTTTTATTATGTCCGCTTTAATTCAAGGAAAAATACATTTTACATGACTTGGTGCTGAAAGGCTGCTGTTCATTCAGTTGGCAGGCTGAGAACGACAGAGTGTGTATTTGGGATAAAGAAATACTTTGATGAAGTAATGGGGATAATTGCTGCTACAGAGGTTTATTTATCATTAAGCCAAAACTGCTAGAAACTACAAACAGAAATTATATCCACTGTGCTGCCTAATTTTTGCAGTGCTAATCAAATGTTTCAAGACATTTAGGTGAAATTAGTTTATGGCGACACGCTGACATTTTGATTTTACATTGATTTTTTCAGAGAAAAAGTGGAGCGACAGTTCCTTCCTTTGTCAATCGTATCCCCACCAACGACACTCCCCCGACCCTGATAAGGACCAACAAATTTACCTCTGGTTTCCAGAACATTGTGGATGCCTATGGAGTGGGCACTTACAGGGAGGTTAACCCTGGTGAGTGTGATTACTTCGCTCTGTGATTTTCTTATCTCTTCTCTCTGTGGGCACACAAAACAAAAATGTGCATGGGCCAAACTGAAATGCAAAGCTAGCTCTACATTTTCTCATGTCACTGACATGCACGTGTTGCACAACAGTGTTTGAGAAAAATTAAGCTCCTCTTATTGTAATTGTGTAACACTCCATCCTGAGATCACATCTTTTTTTAAGAGATTATCTGAAGAGCTCAGACTAACTGCTTCAAATTGCCTTTTAACATTTTAGAAAGGTCTGTCTATAATAAACGTATTTTTTATAATCAACTTAACTTTCCTGGTTTAAATTTCGATTCCTAGATTAAGATTCAGGTCTTTTTCCGTTTCGACTTATGCTTGTAAATAGTTTTTTTGTTGTTATTTTTGTGTCTTGTGCTATTGCTAGGTTTTTATATTCTGTTGTCTTTATATCTTTAATATATATATATATATATATATATATTTATTTATTTATTTTTATTTTTTTTTTTAAGATTACATGCTATAGATATTTTAAGTCCACTAGTCTTGAGGTTTTTTTTTCTTCTTCTCATTTTTAGCTCCTTTCACAATCATCACTTTCCCGTTCCTGTTCGCTGTGATGTTTGGGGACCTGGGTCATGGAGCTATCATGGCTCTGTTTGCTTTCTGGATGGTGCTGTACGAGAACAACCGGAAACTTAAAAACACCAGGAATGAGGTGAGTGAGGACCTAAAAACAGTTGTTTTTTTTACCGTATACTCATTTGAAATCTCATTTAAATGATCTAACAGATGTCAGTGGTTTGTGTGTGTGTGTGTGTGTGTGTCTGAAGTATAACTAAGTGATTTCATGTGTACATGCAGATCTGGAACACATTCTTTGAGGGCCGTTATATCATCCTGATGATGGGCCTGTTCTCCATCTACACCGGCCTGATATACAATGACTGTTTCTCAAAGTCGCTTAACATCTTTGGTTCTGGATGGAGTGTGAAAGCAATGCTCAATGCTAATGTGTGGAAGTGAGTACTCCATGACAACAAAGACTTCATTGCAACAGTACAAACTGCTAAGCATGCCCAGAAGAAGAAGTATTATTTTTACATTATTAAGAAATGAATGGAAAAACCTGTTGTACGTTTTTGAAGATATGAAGATAAGATGATGTTCGTGGATTTGTTTCATACTGACATACATTTAACACACACTGGTGGTTTTATTTGTGCCTAACAGTAAAACTGATATCCTTGGGAATCGTTTTCTTTCACTGGATCCAAATGTTGAAGGAGTTTTCAAAGGGCCGTACCCTCTGGGAATTGACCCGGTGAGTAGAGAAAATGAAAGACTAGTCATAATGAATGAATAACTGATGATGATCTCACATACAGAGATCACTTTACCATTGCTTCTCATCATTGTTGTGGAGCCTTCATCATACTCACAATCACAGTACAAAGCACTTTGAAATGTATTCTGTCACGGAGGGTTATTTGCTTGATTCGAGGTAATGTTACATCACTAGATGTCCTCTAGGAACAATAATGCTATCCTTAATGGCTGAACAAATGGCTGGAGTTAATCTTTTACTAATCAAAACCACCCATGCTATAATACAGTGTATGTCCTCTTTCCACTGTAAAGATTTGGAACTTGGCAAACAACCGCCTTACATTTCTGAACTCCTATAAGATGAAGATGTCAGTGATCTTGGGCATCATACACATGAGCTTCGGGGTCATCCTCAGCACTTATAATCACTTGTAAGTACCAGCTTGTTTGTTTTTACCTGCGTAAGGCTCTTAATGTTATAGTTTTTAATAGCCTCTCTTATTTTTGTCAACAAAAACAGGCACTTTAGGAAGAAGTACAACCTGTACTTGGTGTTTCTCCCTGAGCTCTTGTTCCTGCTGTGTCTGTTTGGCTACCTGGTGTTCATGATATTGTACAAGTGGCTGGTCTTCTCTGCTAAGGACTCCAGATATGCCCCGAGCATCCTCATCCACTTCATAAACATGTTCCTCATGCAGGGTGATGCAGTGCAGCCCCTCTACCCAGGACAGGTAAGAAGCTAATGTAAAGCTCTACAGTGTCACTTATGTCCCTGTTGTTACTCAACAGGTTAAATCTAATGTTAAATACCCTACAGATGTTAGTTAATAACAATGTACTGCTTCTTCCAGACTGGCCTGCAGATATTTCTGGTGGTCATTGCTCTTCTCTCAGTGCCTGTCTTACTCCTGGGGAAACCCGTCTACCTTTATTGGCTTCACAATGGAAGCCACCGCCTAGGAATGTACAGGGTGAGGGTTTGAAATGCATGTCTGCCTGTGAATGTGTGCATAGATGTGAAAAACCTCTCCAAATATTTGTTCTCTGACTGTAAATATGCTAATCGGATTTGTTTCTCTGCATGTTCTCAGGGATATGAGCGTGTGCGGCGTAACAGTGAAGAGGAGCTCTACCTGTTGAGGACTCATGACATGGAGGAGGGAGGCAGTCACAGTGATCTCTCCACTAGCGGAGAGCGCCAGACGGAGGAGGTGAGCACAGCAGAACAACTGGATTGTTGCGCACTAATTGTGAACTTCCTTATCAGCAACGATTGTCATATTTTGCGGCTTCCTGTCAGTGATGCTGAGTTTTGTTTTGTTCTTGTAATAGTTTGACTTCGCAGATGAGCTCCTGCATCAGGCTATCCACACTATAGAGTATTGCCTGGGTTGCATCTCCAACACAGCCTCCTACTTAAGGCTCTGGGCTCTGAGCCTGGCACATGCCCGTGAGTATAATGGTTTGCACTATAAACCAGTACAAGAACACACTGAACATAAAGTGTGTTTATACAATTCGAAATAACTAGTAGCTTAATTAGATGGCGGTTTTGTTCCAAAACATTTAAACTATTTAATGTCCTCTGTTTACTTTTGTGGTTATGTAACAGAAGTCAGCCATCATTAGAATGGGAAATTATAGCCACTGTGTGTTTGTTTCTTTGTTCACCCATAGATATACAGTATATAACATTTTCTGTAATGAATAGTGGTAAGGAACATTACAGAACGTGCAGCCATGCATTTGAGTAATACAATGTGCCCTAAATGACCCAGAATAGAGATTGTTTGCATGGATACGGTTCACTCTTCAGCCTGCTGATGTTTCATATGTGAATTTATAGTACTATAGCACTACTATAGTTGATCCCTCTTTATATTTTGTTTTAAATTTAATTTTTGCTAGATTTCGGCTACCTATTTTAAACAATCCAAGAGCTCTCAAGCGTGACCAGAGAATACTTCCTCAGTTGTGAGAAGATCTTGACATGTGCTCCTGCACAGTATTTCATGGTCTATTAAACTGATTTTATTCCATTTTAGCAAAACAAATTATAATTAAATAGGAAACCGATTTACAAGGTTGTCTTAACAAGTCAGAACTAAAGGACCATTTCATATCTCTAATATGTGTATAAAACCGTGCATGTGTGTGTGTGTGTGTGCATTCTGTTAATATGACTGAAATCTTAATTGGTTTTATTTAGTCAGATTACTAGCCAGATTATGTAGACAAAAGCTACTCAGTGTCCCTCACAAACATAACTCATGATTTGTGTGTGTCTGAAGGGGCCTGAAGAGTTGATGCCAAACCCATTCAAACCATTTTGCAATATGAGTCAACAAATGTAGACAAATGGCAGGCCTGAGTATTAGTAACCGCCAATACCATTTTGTCCCTGTTTGTTGTAATTCCCTAAATGGATGGTGCACATGCTCCTTTCTCTGCCTTCACAGAGTTATCCGAGGTGTTGTGGGCGATGGTGATGCGAGTAGGACTACGAATGGACACCACTCTCGGGGTTTTATTCCTGGTGCCTGTGTTCGGCCTGTTTGCCGTTCTCACTGTATCCATCCTCCTGGTAATGGAGGGTCTGTCTGCATTTCTTCATGCCCTCCGGCTACACTGGTGAGATAGCAGTAAATGCGAAAGTACTTGTGTCACTGATGGTGCTTTGAATTATCTCAGTATTTATAGTAGCTCTTTGTTCCTTCCTCAGGGTGGAATTTCAGAATAAATTCTACAGTGGGACTGGAGTCAAGTTTTGCCCCTTTTCCTTCGCTCTCCTGCCCTCCAGCTTTGAGCATGATGGCTTACTGTGAAGAGACTATCTGGTAACACTGTTAGGTGGTAAACCGAGCCAGAACAAGCCAGCAGGCTCCCGCTCTCATGAAGACATATTCCACAGATGTCACAAGGTGGTTTTTGATTTTTCGTTTTGTCTTTTAACAAAGTAATGGTGAGCTTCACAAACTTTGGACTGAAACTGGCTGCCCTCCCGACGGTTTTCAAGAACACACACAGTGCAGGGTGTACTGTTGAGAAATTGAACTGTTTTTTCTTTTTGCAAATGTATGTAATAAGGAATAGTTTGTAACAGGATCAACATGGTTCACTGCAGACCATTTTGTGAGGCTCAGATTTTATCCGGCATTGTTGATGTCACTTGTATGAAGAACCACATCCGCCAAACTAAATAAGTAAAAGAAGGTAAAATATTTTAATATGAAATTTAAACATTATAAGCAAATTGATGGCCCAGAGTTTTGGCTACACAGACAATACTTGTTAGGATACATTTGTTGCTGGTTTTCGTGTTTAGATGTAATTTGCTGATTAAATAAGACGAAAGATAAAATAACATTCACCTTTTCTATTTAAGAATAATTAAGAAAAATCTTATTCTTATTCATTCTTTTCTGTTTCCCACCGTTTCTCCTCTTCTTCTCCTTTTATTTTTGTCATTAATTTTGGCATAATTGTCTATATTCATTCAGTTATTTTGCCTTTTTTTCTACCAATACATTTGAGTTTTGGCAGATCTGGTTTCCATACACTGGGTAGTGAGCCACCTTTCAGTTACATAGTTCTAACTCAACTTTTTGTTGCACTGACTGCCTTACAGAAGTACAACCAAATGACAGCATACTGTTTTCTCTTGTACGTAATACTGCGAAAGATCTTTGACTTTATAGTACTGAAAAGTGCTTGAGAAAGTGTGTGTGAGGAGATGTAAATACTTTTACAGAATTATTTTTTAATTTATTATATTTTAAAAGGTGGCATCAAAATTAAAGATGAATGTTACTGGGGTATGATTTTTACTTTTATGCATTCACAGTGTTGCCTATGTGTCTGCCACTTTCTATACAATTTAACATTCCATGCATGGAAAAACTTAAATCATTTATTTGTTGAGTCAGCTCTGCTGGTCGTGAGCCCCTTGCTTTGAAAGATTCTACATCCATATTCAAAACATTGGTTCGACTGTATTAAATCTTATTAAGAGAAGATTGAATCATTTACTAATATCAGGCATTGGTAGTATTTGCTAATTTTGTGGATTTGTTAATATTGTATGGAATTCGTATTTTTTCTAAGGGAAGGAGACTTTGTCATCATCGTCACATTATTGGGATGTCTGCACCTTTTCACTATAGTGAGATACTGCCACACATTTTTGAAAGTCATGACTTTGTCAAGCTTTAACGGTGGAAAAATGTGGATTCACGTTACGTTAAGTGGCAATCTCTGTTTTATTTGGGAGAATGATGTTTGATTAGTTGTCATGGGTTGGTTGAAGGGGTATTGGAATTTCTTCTCATGCAGCTCTAGTCTTGCCATTAATTTTAATATTAAGAATCATATTTTTTCATTGACAACACTCCATGCTCTACTTCTTTTGAGAACATCATCCACATGTCAATAATAAATTGTATTTGTTTGAGTTTTCTTTCCCCCCTCAATGACCATAACTGCATTTCTTTTTTTTATCTGGTTTCATACAAGCTACATGGAAGTCAGCACCAAGATTTTAAATATGTTTTAAATCTGGTGTATTCAGCAAAGAATGACCAAATTCATCAATTTAAATCTTGTGTTTGTAGAAACGCCCTTTAAAAGTACAATTTGTAATTGTGGGAAGGTGACCTTTGTGCTTGTTTTCAATGTTGCTTTATTTATATGTTATCTGAATTAAGTGTGCGCACACATACTTTGACTAGATACGAAGGCCTTAATGTAGTATACTAGAGACTAGAAAAGATACTTTTTGTATCAAATTAGGTCTATTTGTTCATTTTGGATTCATAAACTGTTTAATGAAATAGCACCCCATTATTAATTGCTGCCTCTGTGTTGATCTAACATAATAATGGGAAATTAACACACATACAAACAAACTATATTCACCAATTCTTTTATTCTAAGGTGGTTTTTTGGCAAGTTAAAAAAAGCAATATAATAAGTAATGTAAAAAAAAAAGGTTACATGTAAAGAATGTAATTAATTGCTATATTACTATTACAACAAATTTCTATGAATGTTGTATTCATTATATATTAATTACTTTAAAATATTTTCCAATTCTTTATTTAAATTGTAAACTCATTTTGATTATTTGAATCACTTTTATTGGCCAGGTATTGTATACTGTATAGTTTTATGATGCTCTACGACGATGATGTAAATACACAGAAACAGGCATAAATACGGCAAAAAAACAACAACATGTAAGTTGGATCATCCACATTTTCTCTCAAATATCCAGTTATTTATGTTTAGGTTGTTTATATTAATTAATTTTACTCATGATGATTGTCTAGTGATCTATGTGTGGAGTGATTTTGGTAGTCAGTGTGCAGCAACAGTGCCATGATGCCAATTAAAATACTTTTAAATATATATTTATATAAAATTTTATATTAACTGACATACAAGCTAGTTCCCAAAATCCCCAACAGTTTCCAATCGACTGAAAAAATAGATCAGGGGTTTTGTTTTTTTTTAGATCATTGACTAAATCTCTCAGATAGCTGCCTTCCAGTCAACACACTGGGAACAAATGTCCCGTTTAGTTTCCCAACTACAGCGGTAGTATGGGCGATTTTAAGGTTGCCAAGGCAACGTGAAACCGCCACACTACAACACGATTGCTTGGGTTTGTTGTTGAAGCTGCTGGCAACCAAAAGCTACTGTCGACAACGTTTTGAATGCCGACAGGCTGTTTAGAGATGTTTTATTTCTGCAAATGTTAACTCCTGGGAATTGGTAAATATGGTCCACGACGATTTGCGGGTTGAGTGGATCCGACAGCGAGTATCCGCCGGTTTCAATTTACCGGACTGTCCCAACTGTTTCGACGAACTTCTCAGTCGGGAAGATGGAGAAGAAGAGGAGAAAATTATCCATTACTTGAACGTTGTCTCCGAGGAAGACTCGCCTTCGTCTCTTCTGTTTTTCAAAACTATCAGAGAGGAAGAAACAGAAGTTGAAATTCCAGTCGGTAAGTTGTTAAAGGTGTAGCTAATGTAACCTCTCGTGTAAGTTAATGTTAAAATACATTAATTAATGTTGACTGGTTAGTTAGTCTTTAGCATGCAGTCACAGGTGTAAAGCTGCAGTATAACTTATATAAAAGATAACATTTTGTTATATATTTGAGTCTTTCACTGCATCCTGACAGTAGTTAGACAAATAATCTGTAAAAAAAATACTTAAATAACAATAATAAGGTTCCTCTGGCTCATTTAATTTATCTTATTACTATTTTTATTATTATTGTCTACTACTGTCAGGGTATAGTGAAGGATATTCAGCCAATATGACAATAAGTTATTTAAAAAAAACAACAACCTACTGCCTCTTTAACCATCAATAACCAGCATGTATGAAAAACCCAGAAGGTATTTCCAGAATCTGTCCTTCGTAGATCTTTCTTACCACCTGAATGTACAATATTCTGGCTAAAGTGTTTCCTTTAACCTGTTTCCTAAATTGCGACTCTTCTGGCTTCTGACTGTTGTTGTCATTTTGTAGATAAACCAATGTTTTCTGTGACCTGAATGTATGTTAATGCACGGGAGGTCGAAGGTGTAGAAAGTGTGGTGAGCAACATGTCAACTTGTGCAATGTATATAAATTCAGAAAGGAGGAAAGACGGTGAATCTCCAGATCCTGACAACCCGGACCAGTCCTGGACCCAAAGTGGAGCAGAGACAATCACAGAGGAGACAAATGAACAAAATCCCAGCCATGTGAGATCGAACTTTAATTCAAACTTAATTGGTTTTTATTTTGTGGCTGTGTTTAATATAATTTATTATTGATAGAGATGATCAAATTGTTTAAACCCATGTCTGCTTTTGTGTTTTCAGAGGATTGAGGTTGAAGTGGTTTATCACCTCGAGCTTCATGTAGCTGTAAACGAATACCCAGAGAAATTTCTGAAATCCCGTGTCTTCTACTTTATCAGGAGCACAAAGGGTGAGACGGCAGTTCAGTATCCAGACAGTAAAACGTTTTTCAAGCCTCTATTGCACATTCAAAGGATTAACTAAGAGATTGTTATTTGTGTTTTAAATAGAGACCATTGTTGAACCACTGGACATGAATGAGGCCAATGTCCTGATGCCCAAGCTATTTGACATTGGCATGCATAACGGACACCCTCTTCGTGTGCTGCGGGACAAACTTGACCACGTAAGTAAAATGAAAAACAATTCACAGACGAGCAACCGGCAACAGTCAGACAAAAACGTAATGTAACAACAGCAGAAAAACATCGAACCATGTTTTAAAATGCGTATTTTCACTGTGTGTCTCGTCAGGTGTATATACCCCTGCTCACAGCCCACCAAATGAAGGTGACTGGTGCTGGTTATCAAAGCGGGGCAGAGGAGACCAGCGGAGAGGGTGAAGAGGCGAGTCCAGTGAAGGCCAGTGGACAATTCACGGTTCGTGATGAGTTGCTCAACAGGACATACAAGTTTTTGGGAATGATCAACACGACTCTCCAACAACTCCAGATTCAAGGTTTGTTTTATTAGACACACCAAGGGCTCAATGTTTTTAATTTCAGGAATTTATCAGTATCAAAAAACATAGTGTAACAAAACAAAAGTGCAATTTAAAGCTGTCCCTGCCACGATAGGACTTTGAATATTTCTTATATTAAGTGCTCATTTCATAACATTTCATAATAAACAGTACAATCTAAAGATCAGTCTCTTTGTTGCAGATGAGATTACGCTGCACATCCCTGAGCTCGATCTGGAGCCGGCGGTGGATGTACTGCTTTCTAATCCAGAGATGGTAGAGAAGTTGGAGCAGTGTGTGATGAACTGGCAGACTCAGATTACCATTGTTATTGAGGAGCAGCAAAGCAAAAAGCCGCAGGTTTTTGACTCTCCTTATATTCAGAATTTGAACCAAGGCAGGTTTGGTGCTTAAAAAGATGAAAGTCTTCGCCTCAAGCCCAGAATTTGCATGTATAGCTGCTGAATTGTCTAAAATATTACCAAGAAATTGAATCCCTGTCAGTCCAAATTATTGGGTAGAAGAAATAATCGCTTTCCGTTTTCCTCCAGGCACCCGGCCCTATGGCCGAGATTGTTTTTTGGCAGGAGCGTTCATCCATCCTGAGTGCTCTGAGGGAGCAACTTAAACAGCCTGTGGTGAAGAAGATCTTGGAGGTGATGACCAGAGCAGATGCAGGCATTGTTCAGACCCTGGAAGGAACGGTTGCTGAACTTACCAAATACCGCGTGGAGTCAGACGACAATTTACGCTTCCTCAGCACGCTGGAAAGACACTTCATGGTATTTTATAAAGGCATTCTTACCAAATATTTTTCACATTAACATTCTCTTTTCTCTGTTAACAATGAACAGTGTAACCACCGATAGCTGGTAGTTACAAAAACACACTTGCCAACAATATTTAATCAAAATATTGACTATATAATTGTTATGCTATTCCCACCATTACTTATCAAAGTTACTACTGTCTGTTGTAGAATCTGGCCACTGGAGCAAATTTTGATGTGATCCTGGAGACCATCCCTCCTCTGATGGACAGCCTGCAAATTGTATGGATAATATCTTGCCACTATAACACCAACGACCGTATGGTCCCTCTAATGGAGCGTATTGCCTGGCAGCTGTGTGAACGTGTGGATCAAGCAATCGATGTCCACACACTATTCAAGTATGTGTGGATAAGTTTAAATTATACTTCAAAAGTTCAGATTTTATATAGAGTTTAGTCAGAATCCTGTATTCAATTAAGTCTGTTGTTTCAGTATAACTTAACAATGTGCTGTGCATCGGACAGAAATAACAGGGAAGTGGCCAAATCCAAGGTGCGTGATGCTAAGCAGGTCCTGGACCAGTGGAAGTCATCCTACTTTGAGATGCGGGCTGAAATTGAAGAATCAGGCAGAGATCAACGCTGGGAATTTGACCGCAAGAGACTGTTTGAGAGGACTGATTACATGGCTTCCGTCTGCCAGGACGTGTACAATGTTTTGCAGGTTGGTGTTATAAATACTGACCCTTTTCTCAGTAACTGAACATGTGAATGCATAAAAAGCAACTCAGTTTTTTTTTAAAGCGTCCCCTTGGATTTGTGTTGTGCAGGTTTTGGAGGAGTTCTATAACATCTTTGGTCGAGAACTAAAAAGTGTGACCGGTGACCCAAAACACATTGATGAAGTGCTGTGCAGAGTGGATAGTCTGGTTCTGCCTATTGAGGGCATCAATTTTAATCCTTTCAACATCTGTAAGATGAGCAGCTGGAAAATTATCATGCGAGACTTCAGCACTACGGTTCAGGTGAGTTTACGACATCTTGAATTCCGAAAATGTGAGTTCTGGACCAACATCATTTAATGATGGCAATATCAATGTACTTGTCTGCTTGCACCAATAAAATTGCATATTTTTTTGTAATTTCCCGTAGCTCAGTTATCAAGCTGATTTACCTCTTACATGTGTCTGCTCAGGCTATCGAGGGAGAGGCCATCAACTTCATTGATCAGTCTTTTAAGACACTGCGCTCTTCAGCTGCTGCCTTTCTTATGCTCCTGAGATTCAAACACATCCGCTCCAGAGAGGCCATCAACAACCATTTGATGAAAAAGTTTAATGACATTCTGGCTCAGTTTTGCAAAGAGGTACTATTCTGTGGAATCAAGAAAGAGTGCTTGGTGATATTTGACTTTGCAGATAATTTAAAATTTCTATCACATTATATCACATCAAACAGCGAATCCATGCATGTGTTTAAAAATGTGATCTACATTGTCCTGTAACCAAGGGGACAGGCATAATTGACTGACAATATTACACTGCATTGCGATTAAATACATTCAGTAAGTACCTATGACACTTACAGTGAGCATGGTCTGCCCCAAGCACTTTTGTAGAATGCATGTTTTGTCTTTGTTGTAGGTGGACAGCATACATCAAATCTTTGCGGCAAAGAAGGACAAACCACCCCGAAATAAGAATGAGCCTCCTGTGGCAGGAGCCATCATATGGGCCCGATCTCTTTTCCACCGCATCAAAAACACCATCCTTCCCTTCCTGAAAGTGCCAGATATGCTGGAGGGTGAACAGAGCCAAGTGGTGAGTTTTTTCAATGTTGCACAGTAGTATAGGTCAGTGTAAATATTAAACAGTTCAGACAGAAAAATGGATCGTGACTAAAGGCCTGTATGTGCATTTTGCTCCATTCTGCTCAGGCCAAGGACAAGTACACGAAAATGGCCGTTCAGATCAGGGACTATGAGGCGAAGAAGTACGAGGACTGGGTAGCTGAGACAGAACGCAACTTGCCACTGCTAATGAAAAAACCCCTGTTGGTCGTGATTACCCGTGAAAACCAAATCGAGGCAGAACAGGTATTTATCTATTGCTGTTCACTGTTCACGTAACTGTTGCTCAGCATTGTGCGAAATACACATACAGTAACCCGTTTAATTTGATTTTTCTCATTTTAAGGATGTCTCATCAGCTGAAAACAGACTACAGAGGGGCGTGCAGTACATTGTGAACTTTGCACCAGAGATCATGGAAATAATTTCCGAGACAAACCACCTTGTGTCACTGGGCTATTCTGTGCCTTATCTGGCTCAAAATGTTGCTCTACAGAAGCACAAATTCCTCAAGTAATGATACTCGCCAGTAACTGAATACCAAACCACAAAACCACTGATTGATATAATCTCTGGCCTGACCCGTTTCAACCTTGTTTTGTAGGTATGCTGCTGATCTGCACAAGCTTGTCAAATGCTACCACTCTGTAATGGACAGATTGAGTGAGGCAAAGTCCATTATGCTGTCTCATCAGATCAAAGAGGTCAGAAAAGACATGCATTTTGGATGCAAAAGACTCAACTGGAATTGTTTGGGTATGGTGCTTTTTTCTTACTGAATCTGAAATGTCTGTGTAATCTGATGTATGCACACTTGTGGTCTGTTGAAATCAAAACTGTGTGTAAAATTTAAATCAGATATATCATCAATATGCGTTTGGTTTTAGGTATCACCGACTTCATCTCCAGAGGAATTCAGACTGTCTCTAAGTTTGAGTCAGTTGTCAATCAGATTCAGAAGAATGAGAGAGATATTGATTCCAGGTTGCAATCCATGGTGATGGCCAACTTATTGAAGTTTCCAGTACCAGACAAATCAAACGATTTACCAGGTAGAACATAGAGAAGGCTATTATTTATTGGTTATGATAATAATTGTACAAGAATTCAAACACGTTTCATTGACTTCATTGCATGTTCTCTAAGGTGTCAAGGAGTTCTGTGAACGTATTGAACGAGAGCGGGTCAAGTCTGTGAATGTGCTGAGTAAGAAGTATGCTGACATTGGACCCCTCATCACTAAGATAGAACATCTGATCATAGAAACCAGCACTGGCAAGGCCAAATGTATGGCAGATTATTACATGTACTGGGAAAGCAAGGTGCTGGACTCCCTTATAAAGATGGTGCTGAGGTAATTAAGTTACGTACTTTGTGGGTACATAACTTGCTCCCTTGAAATACAGCACAATATCTGTCTCAACCATTGTAACACCCCTGTTGTTGAATTTTACATTTAGGAACATTCAGGCCTTCAACATGGCGCTAATGGGAAGTACCCCTCTTTTCCAAATTGATGCCATCCTGTCTGCCCCTAAGATTGTGTTGCAGCCCCAAAGCAATGAGTTCTACTGGTTGATCATGCAGTGTATCAGAGACTGTGTAGAGAGCACCAAGGTGGGATCATCATAGTTATTGTTTGTTGCATAAAAAATATATACTGTTTGTAATCTAATACAGATGATGTGACTTGATTCTGTCCATATTTTTTGTGTTTCAGCATTTTGTGCGTTGGATGCGTGGGACCTGCATTGAGTGCCCACCACAACGGGTGGGGGGTGAAGAGGAGCTGGTAATATTTAGCTTCTGCAGTGACATATGGCAGCATCCTCAGATAAATGAGAGTGCCATGACAGTGTCCCAGAACATTCAGCGACTGCTCCTGTCTATGGACCGCTACCTCAACCACTGGAAGCGCTATCGGCCCCTTTGGGAAAGGAACAAAACCATCGTCAATGAAAAGTTTGCTGCGAGAAATCCTTCCTGTGTCATGTATGATGATAAGCTGCAGTTCCTTTCTCGCATCAATCAGGAGGTGATGCTTGAGCCACGGTTTAAGAATGAACACGCCATCCGTCTAAACCTGGAGCCTCTGGCTCAAACAGTGCGTGAGACCGCTGAGTCCTGGATCAGTTCACTAGGTAGCCTGCTCAACAAGCCTGCCAAAGAGGATCTCTTCAACTTGAGAGATGAACTCATGGTATTGATGCTAAACTCTTTGTGTCATATGTTTTTATAGTGAATATTCATTGATTTGTATATGTAATTTACATACATATGTAATATGTAATTTATTCTTGTGGCTATTTTATACACCAGCAACTTTCTAAGATGCTGAAACAGAGCCCTGACAGTTTTGAAGAACTGAAGTCTGTCCTTACCACCATCTCAGACATCAGGGACATGTCTCTAGATGTGGACTTGAGATTCTCTGATATCCAGGAAAGATACAGAACACTGGCCATGTACAACGTAGAGGTACTGTGTGCTTAATGTTAAATTACTGTCCCTTGAAAGCATAGGTTTAGAATGTGTGCTTTGTTTAACTTTTTGTGCTCTATTTTCTGTGTAGGTTGGAGAGGATGAAGTGGAGTTAGTGGCCAAGATTGGCCAGATGTGGAGTGACCTGTTTACAGAATCCAGACAAATTGATCGAAGTCTGGCAGATGTCAAGAAATCATTTACCTCAGTAAGACACCAGACCAAGACAACACATACTGCTTAAAGAGGAAAATTTCCTTTTTTTTTTTTTTAAATCTACATTTACATTTTCTTCTTATTCTTTCATTACACTCAAAGATTACGAAGGAGAGGATTAAGGAGTTTAAGCAGGAGTTGTCTATCTTTGCTGAAAGCTTCAACATGCATGGTCCTGGAGCTGTGGGAGATGATTTGGAGAAAGGTAGTCGTGCACTTGAACGCTGCCTTTAGTTGTTATGAACAGAACAATTATATATTGTCCTACAACTTAAAATATTGTGGAGGGACGTATGTCTCTCTTTTGTTCTTGCAGGACTGAGCATTATAGGAACATATGAGGCAGACCTTGCCAAGGTAGTGGCAGGACGGCAGAAGCTAGCTAATGCTGAGAAGCTATTGAACCTACCTGTCACTGTGTACCCGGAGGTTATCAGCATTCAAAGGGACATGAAGGCCTTGAGACAGATATATGATGTCTATCAAGCTCAGAAGGTCAGATATGGTGGCTGTAAAAATTTAAATTGCATATTGGGCCATGTTAAGCAAAATTCTGGTCATCTCGTTTTTTTGAGTATTTCATGTGTTTGTCCTTTACATCTTTCAGAATGCAAAGACAGAGTGGTCTCAGACCTTGTGGGTGGATTTAAACATCCAGCTGCTACAGGAGGGTGTTGAGGGTTTCATCAAAAGATTGAGGCAGCTGCCCAAAGATGTGCGGGCCTTACCTGTGGCCTTCTTCCTAGACGGACGCATGAAGGAGTTCAGAGAGTCTCTGCCTCTTCTGCTGGACCTGAAGAACGAGGCCCTCAGAGACAGGTCAGTCTGCAGATTGACATCAGAATCTAACTGGAATAAATCTCACACCAAAACAAGATGTAAATTAATGAATAATAGAGTTTGAGTTAATAAACATGTATGATGACCAGGATATGTAAATCTGACATTTATTATTTATTTATGTAAATCTGCAGACACTGGAAGGAACTGATGGAAAGGACTGGCACTAGCTTTGAGATGAACCCTGACACCTTCACTCTGGAGAACATGTTTGCTATGGAGTTGCACAAATATGCAAATGTCATCGGTGACATTGTCACTTCTGCTGTAAAAGAACTCAGTATCGAGAAGGCAAGCTTCTGTCTTGAGTTATGATTCCATTATGATTTAACTCAAGTTGAAGTTAAGCATCTTTTTTATCAACATTATCTGTGTGTGTGCTTCCAGGGAGTAAAGGAGGTGGTGGACACCTGGGAAAACATGAGGTTCAGTGTGATTCCCTATTTTAAAGGCACCCAGGAACGCGGTTCTATTCTGGGTGCCGTGGACGAGATTCTGCTGAATGTGGACAACGATGCCATGAACCTACAGAGCATGGCGGGCAGCCGTTTTGTTGGACCTTTCCTGAGTATCATACAACAATGGGAAAAAGACCTGTCCCTTATCAGTGAGACCATAGAGGTCAGTCAGAGTGGCCAATTCTCCCATCACACTTAGGCTGATTCATAAAAATCCCTACTGAAAAGAATATTTCTTGCGCAGGTATGGTTGCTGGTACAACGAAAATGGATGTATCTGGAGAGCATATTCATTGGTGGAGACATTAGCTCACAGTTACCCGAAGAAGCCAAGAAATTTGATAACATTGACAAAAAGTTTAAAGAGGTGAGTGTTGCCGTAATATAAGCCAGATGAAAGTAGTCTGTTGCTGGACATCTCAAAATAATATTGTCTGATTTTTTCTGTAGATTATGAATGATACAGTGAAGGGTCCAAACATTAAGCGGTGTTGCCTGGTTCCCAACCGGCTAACAGACCTGCAGGCCCTTAGTGATGGTCTAGAAAGGTGCCAAAAGAGTCTTAATGACTACCTCGACTCCAAGCGGAACGTGTTTCCTCGCTTCTTCTTCATCTCGGATGATGAACTGCTCAGCATTCTGGGGAGTAGTGACCCTGCCTGTGTCCAGGAGCATATAATCAAGGTATCAGCGATTACTAAGATCACTGCTTGCCGTGTGTGTGAAACATTTTCCTAGATCTTGTTTCTTTTGTTTGTTCCCCAAGATGTATGACAACATAGCATCTCTGAGGTTTGACGTGGAAAGCAATGGGGAGACAGTAGCTGGAGCCATGGTGTCTGCTGAGGGTGAGGTGATGGAGCTGAAGAAGCCCATCCCAGCGGAGGGCAGGGTGGAGGAGTGGATGACGGCAGTACTGCTGGAGATGAGGAAGACTAATAGACTCATCACCAAGGAAGCAATCTTCCGATATTGTGAAGACAGGAACAGGTGTGTGTAGTGACTACATGTATGAGCAATTCTGCCAGTGCGTGTGTGCAAATGAGCCACATTAATGTAACATGTCTCTCAGGGTGGACTGGATGTTGCTGTACCAGGGTATGGTGGTGCTGGCTGCAAATCAAGTGTGGTGGACTTGGGAAGTAGAGGATGTCTTTAAAAATGTGAAGAAAGGAGAGAAGTACGCACTGAAGAACTATGCTAAGAAAATGCACCAGCAGATCGATGAGCTGGTAACACGGATTACACAACCTATGAAGAAAAATGACAGAAAAAAGATAAACACTGTGCTTATCATCGATGTCCATGCAAGAGACATTGTAGACAGCTTATTGCTAAACAGGTGAACTTAACCTTTGCCACTTTTAACTTTTTTTCACTACACATAACATTGTGAATTTCAGTAAAATAAAAATGTATTTGTCTTTTCAGTATAATGGACGCCCGTGAGTTTGAGTGGGAAAGCCAGCTAAGATTCTACTGGGTCCGGGAACAGGACAACCTTTTTGTGCGTCAGTGCAGTGCTTCGTTCTCATACGGCTACGAATACATGGGGTTGAACGGTCGATTGGTTATCACCCCACTGACAGACCGTATCTACCTCACCATCACACAGGTCTGAGTTTGTTTTTGTTTTTCAAATTTGCATCAACCAAACAAATTAATAAAACACCCAAGCAGCACTTGTGAATTGTTCTGTCAGCTTGTTTTGACAACAGGTGTTTATTTGTGATACAGGCCCTCTCCATGTACCTGGGTGGAGCTCCTGCTGGACCGGCTGGTACAGGAAAGACAGAGTCCACCAAAGATCTAGCTAAGGCTTTAGGTCTGCTTTGTGTGGTTACTAACTGCGGTGAGGGCATGGATTACATGGTAAGAGGCCTACACTTAAAGAGACAACAGCTACTGAACAATATCCTAGTACCTCATACCTGTTCTGTGACATTATCCTGAGAAAGGAGATCAATTTGTTTAAATTATAATAACATTTAACATATTCTTGTGTGTTGTTCTTGCCCAAATGATAAATGAATATCTTAATTTATGAAGCAAATGTTTTTTGGAAGTACATTATTTTTGTGTGTGTCACATGTAAAAAAAAAAAAAAATGCAACCTCACCCCTTGCACAATAGATGCTGTCTGTAATCATCAGGCATGTGTGCTTATGGTATGTCCATATACAAATGATTTCCTTGTTGCCAACATGCTCACTTACATCAAACAGTTAATCATTTGTATGTATGTTTTTTTTGTTACTAGCATTTTTTCCTTGATTTCCTTTCCTCTTTGTGTGCAGGCTGTTGGCAAGATCCTCTCTGGCCTTGCCCAGTGTGGAGCTTGGGGCTGCTTTGATGAGTTCAACCGTATTGATGCCTCAGTGTTGTCAGTCATCTCCTCCCAAATCCAGACAATCCGCAATGCTCTCATTCTTCACCTTAAAAGGTTTCATGTAAGTCTATCGTAGTTATGCAGAACCAGTAAGGAATACATTTAAAATGATGTAATGTAATAATTCCAATTGTCATATAAATTTAAGGATATTTCATGAAGCTTGAGGGATATTTCACTTGTCATAATTTAGGTTGATAGCTTGCTTTTTTAGCCTATTTCCTGAAGAGTTGTTGTCCATTATTCCCCCTAAACCAACTTCTTCTCACTATGCACATCAGTTTGAAGGGCAAGAGATCACCCTGGATGACCGCATGGGTATTTTCATCACCATGAACCCAGGTTATGCAGGACGTACAGAGCTGCCAGAATCAGTCAAGGCCCTCTTCAGACCTGTGGTGGTCATTGTGCCCGACCTGCAGCAGATCTGTGAGATCATGCTCCTCTCTGAGGGCTTCCTATTGGCCAAAGTGAGGGACGCATACACAATACACAAATAACATTGTTACTATTTAGCTGATTTGCTCATCCTGAGCAATGTATAAAGAACCATGTACTGCAATATTACTTTACAAAATGTATATTAATGTTATCAGGTGATGTTGAAATGCATGGATAAATTATAATAAATAACTGATAATTTGAAGCTCAGAAAGATCATTTTTTTAATATAAACATGGAAAGATCTGTAACTCTACACTGTAAACTGCTTACCGCTTACCTACACATGTCAGTTTCTTATTGAGGATTTTATCTTTTCACTTTTGCTCAACCTAGGTGCTGGCTAAGAAGATGACAGTACTGTATAAGCTGGCTCGTGAGCAGCTGTCCAAGCAGTCTCATTATGACTTTGGCCTGCGAGCTCTGAAATCTGTCCTAGTGATGGCAGGAGAGCTGAAGAGAGGCTCACCAGACCTCAGCGAGGTAAAGACCCGAGAACATTTTTCATGTTTCATTTTTATATAGTGAACTTGTTTTTGCTTACATTCGATATGGAATGAATGGGTCATTTATTTGTGATCCCTCAGCTTGAAGGGAAATTGCTATTGGGGAAATGTTGTGATTTGCAGCATTTAGAAGAAATCTTTAAAGATGTTGTAATGCTTTGTGATCTTTTATCACCTATTTGCTGTCATGTGGTATTTTCTCTCTTTCCTTTCCTCCTACAGGATGTGGTGCTGATGCGTGCTCTCAGGGACATGAACCTGCCAAAGTTTGTGTTTGAGGATGTGCCACTGTTCCTCGGGCTGATCTCAGACCTGTTCCCTGGGCTGGACTGTCCTCGTGTTCGTTATCCCAACTTCAATGATGCTGTGGAACAAATCCTTCAAGACAACACATATGTCATGCTGCTTAACCAGGTGTCTCATCTGGTTCTTAGATTTGGTTCTTTGACATACAGGCATTCCTATACAACATAAAAAGTGTTTCAGTGGTAAATATTTAGTTTCACCATGTGATTGTTTATGTGTTTATATACCATATTCTTTATGCTGGCTGTGGTTTCAGGTGGATAAAGTGGTGCAGATGTATGAGACAATGATGACCAGACACACTACTATGATTGTGGGTCCAACAGGTGGAGGAAAATCGGTTGTGATCAACACGTTATGTCAAGCTCAGACCAAGTCAGTGTCAGTTTACATATATTACCTTCCTGATCTTTTGTGTAGACAGTGGTAACCTTAACTTTATCTCATCATCAGATTGGGATTGCAAACCAAGATGTATCCTCTGAACCCTAAAGCGATGAGTGTCATTGAACTTTACGGTGTTCTGGACCCTGACACTCGAGACTGGACCGATGGGATCTTGTCCAACATCTTTCGTGACATCAACAAGCCTACGGAAAAAAAAGAGCGGAGGTATAAAAATACACCAGACTCTAATAATAATTTTACCTCGTATATCATCCTAACATCGTAACTTCATTCAAAGCAGATAGGAACAAAATAAAGCTCACCAAAACCATCTGTGTTAGTCTTTCCACTGTTCCAACAATCACCAACCCTGGTTTGGTTGAAATAAATCCTTAATTCACCAAGGTAGATGAGACAGCAGTTTCAAAACAGCAGTTTCAGTTGCTCTTCTCAGTTGGAAACAGACGGACTCGTGTGCACCAATATGCATGCACAGCCAGACCAGATTTGTAAACAAAGCACAGAGCAGCTGCATTAGCAACACAGGCAAAGGGAGTGTGACATAATTCTCTGTTCAAGACACCATGACTCCAATAAAGCTTTACATAGCAAGTAGTTGTTTGCTGCTATATTTATGTTTTAAGTCTTATATATAACCTTTAATTACAGTGTGCAGTATGCCGGTGAAGTGATTGAATTTTCAATAAGAAAATACATTTCTGTGGAATACATAAAGACATGTACTTTGACTCACAGGTACATCCTGTTTGATGGGGATGTGGATGCTCTGTGGGTCGAGAACATGAACTCGGTGATGGATGACAACAAGCTCCTCACTCTAGCCAATGGAGAACGGATCCGTTTACAGAATCACTGTGCCATGCTGTTTGAGGTTTGAATTTGCAGATTGCTGACTGTAAAATATCTTTTTCTACATTTTTTCTGCAAAGCAACTTTGAGTTCATATTATAATGAAACTCCAACATCACAGGTTGGAGATCTGCAGTATGCTTCCCCTGCTACTGTTTCCCGCTGTGGGATGGTTTTTGTCGACCCCAAAAACCTGCGATACACCCCATACTGGCAGAGATGGTTGACCAACAGACCTGAAAGTGTATGAGAAAAAACATATACACTATGTAATAATAGTACTTGCTTATAATTTGATAACTTCTCAAGACCATGTTTTTATTTTTTTCTAGGAACAAGAAGTGCTCAACAAACTGTTTGAGAAATATGTGCCCAGCTCTATTGACATGATTGTGGATGGTATTGTTGATGGCAAACAGGGCCAGAAACTAAAGACTGTTGTCCCTCAGACAGATCTTAACATGGTAGGTTAATATCATCCATTTAATATGTACTCCAGTACCGGTATTGTTGTATTTTGACATGAAGAGTTGAATGAAGATTAGTATAGTCCCATATTTTGACTTTTTTATGTGTTGGCTGTGTGTTCAGGTGACTCAGCTGTCCTTAACACTGGATGCACTGCTTGAGAACGAGGGCAGCAGTGCTGAAGTCTTGGAGTGTTACTTTCTGGAAGCACTGTACTGCTCACTAGGTGCCACATTGATGGATAGTGGCAGGATCAAGTTTGATCAATTAATCAAAAAGCTTTCCTGTTTAACAACAGTGCATGATGAGAAAGCCCTGGCTGGACCTGGTGAGATTCCAGGTAAAAAGCAAGAATTAGTACTTCAATGATTATGAAACTGTCATGCGTTATCAAGATTATGCATTTTTAATATACCCTTTTTGGTACAGTTGATATATAATATGAGGTTATTAAAAAGCATTATTGCATTGAAAATCAATGAAAAGAATTCCTTATGGTTTTAGATTAAATGAAAATATGGCATGATGAAAACCAACCCAGTTTTACCTTTTAGCAATTTTATTTTCCACATGAAAACATGGAGAGTAATTTTATTATGTCACTTTTCTATCTTATTATTGATAACAAAATGTCTGCATCCATACAGGCTACCTCCCAACTCTGTATGATTTCCATTTTGATGGAACACAGCTGAAGTGGGTTCCCTGGAATTCCCTGGTCACCAAATACATTCACAACCCTGAAATGAAGTTTGCTGATATTCTAGGTAAAGGTCAAGAGCTGTGAGGCGGCCACGAAATAATGAATTAAGTGTCCTGCATACATACATACTGTATGGATTTAAACTTTTCGGCTCTCCCACGCTCCTTTTCCAAATTTGATTTCCTCATCCTCCATCTTTGGTTTAGTGCCAACTATCGACACCACAAGAGCAAGCTGGATCTTGGAACAGATGGTGAAGATAAAGCGGCCAGTGCTTCTGGTTGGAGAGTCTGGCACTTCTAAGACTGCCACCATTCATAACTTCTTGAAACACCTCAATGCAGATACAAGTGTGAGTTTACCATCTAACCATGCATGTGTGTATTTGTTACGAAACTTAAGTTTAAATTTCTTCCTTTGTGTTTCTAGATTACTCTGATCATCAACTTCTCATCCAGAACGACTTCAATGGACCTGCAGAGGAACCTGGAGGCCAATGTGGAGAAGAGGACCAAAGAGATCTATGGGCCTCCTATGGGAAAGAGACTGCTGGTCTTTATGGATGACATGAATATGCCAAAGGTACCTGATCCAAGTTCCCAACCAAGTCTCTTACTGTGGTGAGTGACAGCACTTGTATGTTTAACATTACTGTATACTGTGTACTTATCCAGGTGGATAGTTACGGCACACAACAACCTATTGCACTTCTGAAGCTGTTATTGGACAGAGGAGGCATATATGACAGAGGGAAAGAGCTTAACTACAAAATCCTCAAGGACCTTGGCTTTGTCGCTGCCATGGGAAAGGCAGGAGGTGGGAGGAACGAGGTGGATCCCCGCTTTGTCTCGCTTTTCAGTGTCTTCAGCATTCCCTTCCCTGCAGTGGAGACCCTCAAGCTCATCTATGCTTCCATTATCAAAGGCCACACCAGAGTGGGTATCTTTTATAAATCAATACATATCAGAATCTCAATCATCCATATCATATCAAATGTAATTAACTTGATCAAATATTTTAGCCATTTGAGGACGCCATTCAGAAGGTTTGTGATAAAGTCATCATCTGCACGCTGGAACTGTACAACAACATCATCAAAGATCTGCCACCCACTCCCTCCAAGTTCCACTACATCTTCAACTTAAGGGATCTGTCCAGAGTCTACAATGGACTGATCCTCACCAAACCCGACAGGTCTGATTTAGCACATTTCCTCTAGTAACAGATTAACTCTGCAACAGAGACTTCGCAGTTAGATGTCTATGTTTTCTAAATGTCTTTGCTTTATTGGATTTCACAGGATTTTGACTGTCACCCAATTTGTGCGTGTGTGGAGAAATGAGTGCCTGAGAATCTTCCATGACAGGCTCATTGATGAAACCGACAAAGCCTTGGTAATGATTGCTAATAATAGTTGTAGATATTTACTGTAGATTCTTCTTTGTATTGACTACAAGGACTAATATATGTTTCATTGTTCCTTCAACTGTAGGGTCAAAATCTACTGTATACTAAATTGTTATGTTTAGTGTCGTATTTCAGTTTTTAAATGTGCCCAATGTGTCTTTTTTGCCACCAGGTTCAAGGCCACATAAAGAACCTGATTGAGGAGCATTTCAAGTCGGACATGGAGGCAGTCATGAGGGACCCAATTCTTTTTGGAGACTACAGAACAGCCCTCAGTGAGACTGAACCAAGGGTCTACGAGGACATACAGGACTATGATGCTTCCAAAGCCTTGTTTCAGGTATTGTCAACTTAATAACTGTGATAGAGGGCCTCACTCTAATGTTTTTGGAATAGCATAATAATACAACAATAGTTTTTGATATTTCTTACAATTATTTACTGCCATATTCTGTCTTTAAATATACTGAGAGACCAAGTGTTTTTGCATTGTGCAGGAAATTCTAGAGGAATACAATGAGAACAAGTCCAGGATGAATCTAGTACTATTTGATGACGCTCTGGAACATCTGACCCGGGTGCACCGCATAATCCGCATTGATCGTGGCCACGCGCTGCTCGTTGGCGTGGGGGGCTCTGGCAAGCAGTCCCTCACCAAGCTTGCTGCCTATACTGCTGGTTGTGAGGTTGTAAACACAAGAACTATAAAGGGTGTGGTGAAGGGAAAATAGCTCTCAGTGACAAACTTCAAATGTACATTTTTAATTTCTTTAGGTTTACAGTCATAAAAATAAGAGGCAAATAGACTTTTTATTAACGTGTTCACCATAAGAAGTTTTGAAGTATAGTTATAGGTGGCACTGTCTTACAAAGTGAAAATAGCAGTCTTCTAACTTTAAAGCTGCTAGAGGAGAAATTAAAAGAGAAATATTCTGATTTCTATGGTGTCAAACATCACATATGGAGATATAATTACAAATAAATCTCCAGCATCTAGTAATGTAATCTTTTAACATCAACAATCTGCTTTTCCCAGGTGTTTGAGATAACACTAAGCAGAGGATACAGTGAGTCAAACTTCCGTGATGACCTGAAAACACTGTACTTGAAGCTTGGCATTGAAAATAAGAAGTTAGTGTTCCTCTTTACGGATGCCCATGTTGCTGAGGAAGGCTTCTTGGAACTCATTAACAACATGCTCACCTCAGGTTGGATATCACACTAACCTCCTGGCTCATACTTCATTTAGCTGTCTTAAAAGGTACAACTGTAGTACTCTGATCATGCTCTCTCTTTATAGGCATTGTTCCTGCATTGTTTCCTGATGATGAGAGGGAGTCAGTTCTCAACCAGCTTCGGGAAGAGGCTCTTAAGATGGGAGCAGGTCCTTCTAAAGATAGTGTGTGGCAGTACTTTGTTAGCAAGAGCGCTAACAATCTACACATTGTTCTAGGCATGTCTCCAGTGGGAGACACCCTGAGGACACGCTGCAGGAACTTCCCAGGTGAAATACAGAGTCAGGCCTCACTTGATTGATTAATATAATTTATGATTTTATTTTACTAACTGTGTGTACTTCTTTCTCAGGACTGATGAACAACACTGTGATAGACTGGTTCCTTCCATGGCCTCCTCAGGCATTACTTGCAGTGGCCCAGTCTTTCCTTGGTGTGTAATTACACACATTTATATATATTTTTAAATGTATCTGTTTTGGAAGTTTGTTTTCATAAAAGCAATTTAAGGGTTTTCTACTTTATTTAGCTGTGATGAGACCTACAGATGGGATATTATATCTAAATCTAGAGATTTGTTTTTGAAGAATTCACATTCATTTGTTTTTATTACAGGTGAAAATCCAATGATTCCTGAGGCACACTCTGCAGCAGTGATAGATCATGTATGCATGGTTCATACCTCCGTGGGTGACTACAGCAAGCTATTCCAGCAGAAACTCCGGCGGTGTAACTTTGTTACTCCAAAGAACTACTTGGACTTTATTAATACCTATTCTAACCTCTTGGAGGAAAAGGACCAATATATACTGGGTGAGAAAATAGAACAATTCTGTGCCACACTGCTACTGTGCATTCATGTGTTTGTGATCATTTTAGAGACTTTGTTTTGTTATCATGTTCTCTCATTTACCAGCTCAGTGCAAGCGCCTAGAGGGAGGTTTGGATAAACTGAAGGAGGCCAGTGAGCAGCTGGCTGAGCTGAATATCAAGCTAGCAGAGCAGAAGGTGGTCCTTGCTGAAAAGTCCACAGCTTGTGAGGCCCTGCTGGATGAGATCACCACAAACACAACTGTAGGTCAGTGAGTACCTGCATCTTTTAACTTATGGTTGTGATAAATACAGTGTACTGCGGGCTTCCGAAACTAAACACAGCTGTTACAAACCACTTATCAATAACTTTTCTGTCTTTTCTAGCTGAGGAGAAAAAGACTCTGGCAGAAGACAAAGCCAAAGAGATTGAAGTGCAAAACAAAGTGATAGCTGTTGAGAAGAAAGAAGCTGAAAGTTCCCTGGCTGAAGCTCTGCCGGCATTAGAGGCAGCCCGCAAAGCCCTGCAAGACCTGGAAAAATCTGATGTCACAGAGATCCGGTAAACTTTCCTCTTTATGCAGAGCATCATCATAGCGATGAAAAGAAAAGTTAAACAGCGATGTCTGTAATGTAGACACCCATACTAAAACAGATGATAAACCAAAAAATACTGCATTGAGGAATGATTAAGATTCTTGAATATTTCATCGAGAAACGATTAATCATGAAAAACCATGACTCAACATACATCACCAAAGAAAACAAACTTATTCCATCTGTTAATCGGTCTTCTCCCTTTGTCTGCCTTTTCCTGCTGCTCCATTGTGCAGATCCTTTGCCAAGCCACCAAAACAGGTGCAGGTAGTTTGTGAGTGCATCCTGGTGATGCGTGGCTATAAGGAGATCAGTTGGCAGTCAGCCAAGGGGATGATGTCAGAGGCTAACTTCCTGCGCTCGCTGATGGAGATGGACTGTGATTCCATAAATAACACCCAGGTCAGGACTGTCAAAGGTAAGTCGGCATCATAATCAATGGAAACCCACCGTCAAAACTGCAAACAGTACCCATGTACTATGTGATATGCATACATTAAGGCATTTGCGTTTGCCAGGTATCGCACAGTTGTATTCTTTGCATTTTTTCCCTGGCTAGGCTTCCTGAAAAACCTCCAGACAAGCTTTGAGGAGATGCAAGCCATCAGTAAGGCTGGGTCAGGAATGCTCAAGTTTGTCGAGGCTATAATGGGTTACTGTGAAGTTGCCCGAGAGATAAAACCGAAGAGAGAGAAGGTAATGTAAGATGTTCATGTTTTTTTACATCATACTCTATAAGAAGGAACACAGATTAAACACACATTTTTTCTTAGGTGGCACGCCTAGAGAAAAACTTTTTTCAGAGTAAACGGGAGCTGGAGCGCATTCAGAGTGAGCTTAGCAATATCCAGAAAGAATTACATGCTCTTGGAGAGAAGTACCATGCTGCTATTTCAGAGAAACAGTTGCTACAAGAGGAGGCTGAGCTCATGGAGAGAAGGCTTATAGCTGCTGACAAACTCATCTCTGGCCTGAGCTCTGAGAATGAACGGTGAGGCTGAAAAATATGTAACACATGGAGTCACATTTGCAACTATGAGCCTAACTGACCCTGCTAAGATTAATTATTTGTTTCTTTTTAATCTCTCTTTCGTCATCCCTTTGTCTCTCAACCTGTCTCTCTTTACTATTCCTTCTTCTCCCCACGCAGGTGGACACAAGATCTGGAGGAGTTGAAGCAGCGGCGTGTGCGTCTCCTGGGAGACTGTCTGATCTCTGCTGCTTTCCTGAGCTATGAAGGGGCCTTCAGTTGGAACTTCAGGAATGAAATGGTATACCAAGTATGGGTTAAGGATGTGCAGGAGAGAGCCCTTCCCTTGAGCCAGCCTTTCAAAATTGAAAGTCTTCTGACTGATGAGGTAGAAATCAGCAGGTGAGAAGGAGTGTGTGCTCATGACAGAATTTGAAACATGATAAAACAATATATAATATGAATTTGTCCTATCAAGTGTTATGTATTAGGTGTTGTGGTAGGAGTGCAGATGCTTGTTGCAAATATATGGATTTGTCTTTATTTTGGCTGTACTCAACACTGACTATGGGGATAACTATGTGTCAAATGTGTGATAGATGGGGCTCAGAGGGCTTGCCTCCTGATGAGCTGTCAGTGCAGAATGGAATCCTCACAACCAGAGGGAGCCGATTTCCCATGTGTATCGATCCTCAACAGCAAGCCCTCAACTGGATTAAGAAGAAGGAAGAAAACAATAATCTGAAGGTACAAAAAGTTATGTGTGGTTACCGCTCACATGTCCTGAAATGACTGCTTTAAACAGCTTCCCACTGCTGACAGCCCCAGAATCAACACTTTGGAAAGAGCCACAACATGCGGTCCTGACAGTGTTACCATCCTTCTTTTTCTCAGATCTCATCTTTCAATGATCCAGATTTCCTGAAGCAGCTAGAAATGGCCATCAAATATGGCTTCCCATTCCTTTTTCAAGATGTGGATGAGTACATTGACCCTGTGATTGACACTGTCCTGGAAAAGAATGTAAAAGGAGCAGAGGGCAGACAGGTCCTCACGCTGGGCGACAAGGAAGTTGACTATGATCCCAACTTTAAACTGTACCTCAACACCAAATTGTCTAACCCCAAATATTCCCCATCAGTGTTTGGAAAGGCCATGGTCATTAACTATACTGGTAAGATCATATGACATGACAAACATAGTTTTCATCTGTAACATTTAAACAGCATTTACTAAATGTATGTGTATGTATGTCTGTATGTATGTATGTCTGCCTGTGTCTGTGAATTTATTGTATCTATGTTACCTGTAGTGACCCTTAAGGGTCTGGAGGACCAGCTGCTGAGTGTTATCATGGGCTTTGAGAAGAAGGAGCTGGAGGAGCAGCGTGAGCGTTTGATCCAAGAGACAAGCAACAACAAGAAGCTGCTGAAGAACCTCGGGGACTCCCTGCTCAGAGAGCTGGCCACATCTTCAGGCAACATGTTGGATAACACAGAGTTGGTTGACACATTGGAGGAAACAAAGTCAAAAGCCGGCGAGGTCAGTTTGACTGCAGCAAGTATCAGTGAACTCATGCAAGAATAGACATTTTACTGAAGTCATTCATCTTTTGTCTTCCTTTTTGTTGTTGTGATGTACAGGTATTTGAGAAATTAAAGTTGGCTGAGAAGACCTCCGTGGACATTGATAAACTCAGAGACGGCTACCGACCTGCTGCCAAACGCGGTGCTATCCTGTTCTTTGTACTGACAGAAATGGCTTTGGTGAACAGCATGTACCAGTACTCTCTAGCCTCCTACCTAGAAGTGTTTGACTTTTCACTGCGCAAATCTCTGCCTGACTCTGTCCTGCCCCAAAGACTGAAGAACATCATGAACACTCTTACATACAGTGTTTATAACTATGGCTGCACAGGTAAAATAATAAAGACTGAATAATGGAATGGATTAAAAAAGGTCAATTTCAAAAGACAAATTACAGTATTTATCATGACGTGATGATTTGTAGATTTCATAACCTGAACTGACTGCATATCCTTAGGTCTGTTTGAGAGACACAAGCTGCTCTTTTCCTTTAACTTGGCCATCAAGATTGAGCAGGCAGAAGGGAGGGCACCTCAGGAGGAGTTGGAGTTCTTTATCAAGGGTGAGATATCCAGAGAAGTTGGACTCCTAAAATATTTAAGTAGATTACAGTTATCACAAGCACACACAAATCTTATTTTTCCACCTTGTGTGTAAAGGTAATTTATCCCTGGAAAAGAGCAAGCGGAAAAAACCTTGTGACTGGCTTCCAGACCAGGGGTGGGAGGACATAGTGAAACTTGCAGAGCTGTTTCCTGAGCAGTTTGGCTCTCTGCCTGATGACGTGGAGAAAACTTTAACTGATTGGAAGTCTGTAAGTGACCAGACGAGACAAGAATCATCATATTTTAATTAATCGATTAAGATTTTGTTGCTCACTCTTTTTCTCCTCAGTGGTATGACTTAGATGGACCAGAACAGGCTTCATTCCCCATGAAATATGAGGAAAACCTGTCAGCCTTTCAGAAGCTGCTGTTGCTGCGCTGCTTCCGTGTGGATAGAGTCTACAGAGCTGTGACTGACTACATCACTGTCACCATGGGCGAGAAGTGAGACTGTTTCTATTGAAATAATGCAGTTAAAGAGATATTTACAGTATACTGTCACTGTGTATAGTATATACAATGTATGTGTTTAATATTTAATTTAAATATAATTAATTCAATATTTAAAATGAGAGAAATCGATGCCCTGAATTTCCATGTTTTCTTGTATTTCTGCTCAGATATGTGCAGCCCCCTGTGATCAACTTTGATGCCATTTATGAGCAGAGCACACCTTTCTCCCCCATTGTATTCATCCTGAGCCCCGGCTCTGATCCAAGCAGTGACCTCATGAAACTAGCAGAGAGGTCAGGCTTTGGAGGCAACAAATTCAAGTTCCTTGCCATGGGCCAAGGCCAAGAGAAGGTACTAAAGACTTTCTTTTCTTCATATCACAGTTATGTAGCTTTAAGTGTGGTCAGGTGAAATGAGTACAGGGATCACTAGGAACACTAAGTAACAATAAAAATTAAATGAAGGGTTGAAGTATATTTTCCTTCTGTTACTTGTGGGTATAGAAGTCCACTTCAATTTGCTTGACTGTGTTGTGTGTCCCTCTCCCTTGTCAGTGGTTGATGCTACAGAACTGCCACCTGCTGGTTAAATGGCTAAAGGATTTGGAGAAGTCCTTAGAGAAGATCACCAAGCCCAGCAACAACTTCCGCTTGTGGCTCACCACCAACCCCATTCAGGATTTCCCTATTGGCATACTGCAAAAGTCTCTGAAGGTGAGACACATTTTCTGTTTATATTTATCAGTTTCTTTTTTGTACATGGCAGGGTTGACTTTCCAGTAATGAGCACAAGAGTTTTTTTCAAATAGGTGTTCATGTTTTACAAAGCAAGGTGATTTTTTGTACTGTAAAAAAAGACGGTAAATTTGTCAGTGTTTACATCTGCTTTGATATTGTGTGCAGGTTGTGACAGAACCTCCCAATGGTCTCAAGTTGAACATGAGAGCCACGTACTCTAAAATCTCCCATGAGACCTTGACTGCATGCCCACACCCTGCCTTCCGCAGCCTGGTGTATGTGTTGACCTTCTTCCATGCTGTGGTGCAAGAGAGACGCAAATACGGCAAGATTGGTTGGAATGTCCCTTATGACTTCAACGAGTCTGACTTCTTCGTGAGTAGCGTGGGAGTCATTTACACCATGTTGCAAATAACTGCTTTTGGTTGGATTTTTAGTCTCTATTTAAATGGAAAAATATTAGTTAACTTTTTTAGTGGTTTAAACACTGGTTTTAACTGTGCTTTAAAGGTGTGTATGGAGATCCTGGACACCTACCTGACCAAAGCTCGCAACCAAGGAGACAGCAATATTCCCTGGGGAAGTCTTAAATACCTTATTGGGGAGGTTAGTTAACTCAATAAACTGTATGTCTATTAACTTGTAAGCTGATGCTGTAAGTTCACTATTTCTAGATAATGTTTTATAGGTGATGTACGGTGGGCGAGCCATAGATAGCTTCGACCGCAGAATCCTGTCTGTCTACATGGATGAGTACCTTGGAGACTTCCTCTTCTACACGTTTCGGCAATTCCACTTCTTCAACAACAAGGATGTAGATTACAAGGTCCCTCCAAATGGGCCTAAAAGTATATATGTCGGTCAGTTGTTATTTTCATTATTTTAATTATCTTACTTGGAAAAATGTGTATGTTCTGTCATCACTCACAGCTTTAGGCTGTTTTATGTTACAGATGAGATTGAGAGCCTGCCACTAGCAAACACAGCAGAGGTAATGGGTCTTCATTCCAACGCAGAGATAGGATACTACACACAGGCAGCTAAAGACATGTGGACTCACCTGATAGACCTGCAGCCTCAGACAGGTAGGATTTGGCATCTTTTATCTCTGTAACCTCTTAATTTATTTTACAAAAAGAAATTGTCCACCTCCACATTGAGTTCTGAGTGCCGAAGAGACTTTCTTTGCCACCTTACTACCAGTGCTTCCTTTTTTATGGCCTTTACACACTCTTATTCCTTAGGTGAATCTGGTGGGAGCATCAGTAGGGATGAGTACATCAGCCAGGTGGCCCAGGACATTCAGAACAAGCTGCCCACGTTGTTCGACATGGACGTGATCCCTAAAAAGTTTGGCACGGACATCTCCCCGACCTCAGTTGTGCTGCTTCAAGAACTAGAGCGCTTCAACAAACTAGTGGTCCGCATGCAGCGCTCTTTGGCCGAGCTGCAGAGGGTGAGAAGGAGGGGCAGAGAACAACAAGACATCGGGACAACAAACAGACAGATGTTGCATTTGCTTTGTGCTTCACACAGCGTTCGATTTCTCTTCTCTTCTCTCTTGCGTCCCCTAGGCCTTGGCTGGTGAGGTGGGTATGAGCAGTGAGTTGGACGAGGTCGCTCGGGCCCTTTTTAATGGTCATATCCCTGCCATTTGGAAAAAGTTGGCACCTGACACTCTTAAGTCCCTCGGCAATTGGATGAGCCATTTCAAGAGGCGCTATGAACAGTACAGCCACTGGGTGAGGACGCACACACACTATCACAGATAACCTTCTGCATTATTCTGGCATTACGGAATAGTTACAAGAGATTATATTTTTGTGTTTCTTGTGTCCACCAGGTGGATGAGGGAGAGCCAAAGGTTATGTGGCTATCAGGACTCCATATCCCAGAGTCCTACCTGACTGCTCTCGTCCAAGCTGCATGCAGGAAAAATGGTTGGCCTCTGGATCTTTCCACACTGTACACACAGGTGACCCAGTACAGCAGTGAGGATGAAGTCAGTGACAGAGCTGGACAGGGTAATGAAATGACACTCACTGTTTGCAGCATGATTAGTGGTAAGTGATGAAGACTGACAGTCTTATTCCCTGCAGGCTGCTTCGTGTCAGGCTTGTATCTGGAAGGAGCAGACTGGGACATGGAGAAGGGTTGCCTAGTGAGGAGTCAACCAAAGGTTCTGGTTGTTGAACTACCCATTCTCAAAGTCATCCCCATAGAGGCACGCCGCCTCAGGTTACAGGTGTGGACCACAGGCGCTACAGGCCTCCATACAATGATTAAGCTCAACATTTTGATGGGTTTTTTTAACTGTTGTGTGTTTTTTTTTGTGTGTTTTGTACAACAGAATACACTGCGGACACCGGTGTACACCACGTCCCTGCGAAGGAATGCAATGGGTGTGGGGTTGGTGTTTGAGGCAGACCTGTTCACCACCATGCACATCTCCCACTGGGTGCTCCAGGGAGTCTGTCTGTGCCTCAATGCTGACTGAAGATAGCCCTCAGCCTCATTGAGCTGGTTAGCTTTCACACAGTCTGTTTTGACACGTTAATTCATAACAAAAATGCCTGAAAGAAGATTGTAAAAAAAAAAAAAGATTGTACATGTTTTAAAAAGACAAAAATAAAATAGACACATTGTAAGAAAACAAGATGAGAATTCATTATCTACTGCATAGCTTTCATTATTTTCTCACTAGATGGCAGCACACAACTGTACTGGGCTCTTCACTCTGGGTAGTGGCTCCAGGGATTTGTCTTTAGTGTTTGTTAAAGAGCCAATAGGCTACAGTGGTCAGGATATTCCAGACCTAAAAGTCTAGTGTTAGTATTATTATTAAGTTTATCAATGAGAAATTTTTAGCAGTTCATTCATGTTTGATTTTTCTCATTCTTTAAAACGATATTTCAGAATTCTGCCCATTCTTAAAAAAGGACAGTAGATGCCGAGTATTTCTGCTGAGTTTGTAAGGGGAACTTAAGATGCTGCATACAGTGGAAAATCTACCACTGACCAAAGGCTGCTAAAGTTTTCCACTTTACCCAAGTAGCTTTTCAGCTGCTCTGCAGTATAGGTAGCAGTGTTTGCTTCATTGTTACATTTAACAAACAGATCTAGCGCAGCACTGAGTAATAGAGGCTGCTGAGGTCAGCATGCCAAAGCAGGTGAAGTTTACTCTAAAAATCAGACAGCCCCAGAGGATCTGGCAGCTGGTGTGGCAGTGAGGTCACAGAAACACAGAAATAAAAACTGAAACAGTTTTGAGCCATAACACATTCATCATGCAGTCTGAGTTGTGTGAGTGCAGCTGTGATCAGGGATGTGTTAACTAAACTGTGACTAGATGGAAATCAACACAAGGCAAACAACCAGCAAAATGAAAGTACTTTACTAAGGTCTCTTTCTTTAAAAGTCATGCTTCTCATTACTGTATTGTGTAGCCAGACCCCCTCTGAATGGCAGAGGGTAAAGGTTAGACAGCCCCTTCTCAGCTTCAACTGGTACGACTATCGTAAAGAGTGAAGATCAGGACATGTTTACGACCAAACACAGGAGGGGAGGAATTGTGTTTCCTTGCTGAAAAGAATGTAAGAATGGTGTGTTGTTTAATGAACCTACACTTCATATGAGAGAGCAGACAATAGGCAATACAACTCTTTCTGTTTGCATAGTAAAAGGGGAGGAAATTATGGAGGCAGGAGAGTAACCCCCGTCTCCTTCCTTTCTTAGAGGTCAAAATTATTTTCAGCTGCTTGCGACTGGAGGGATTTACATTAACCCTAAACTGCTCCGGTTCCTACTTGGCACCGCTGCCTGCGCCAAGCGGCCTCATAAAATGCCAAGGGCTGCCCAAACTCTGACACATCATTTTGAAGCCCTCCCCAATCCCAAACAGTTTCCGTTTGTTGTGATTGGGAGCAGGTGGGCTTACTCGGTCCCATTCAACTGCATGCAACTGTTTGCCACTTTCTCCCTGTAGTACAGGGGGTGATTAGTGCCAGTGTGAATGCCCCTCTGTGAGTGTCAAAGCGTTAACACCATCTCTCCTCAGCTGAGAGCTTCACCAGAACTACAGTACATCGGCCGGTTGCATAAGCGCTCTTTGCAGTCTGCAGCATCTTTTGCAGCTGGTGAGACTTGCAGCTCAGCCCATTGGGGGCCAGAGAGGTGTAGTCACTCCAACCACAGATATACATCTTTGGGCCCCAGTTTTTGGTTGCAGTGCCAGCTGTTTAGTTTGGAGCAGGACCACAGCCCTGTGGTTTCCTGGCTGCTTGCACTGTAAACCTACATGTCCCACATGGTTACTGTAACCTCAACTATTCTCCTGCCACTGTCCTGCCCGGCACTGATGGCTTTTGACAGAGGCTACAGACCACAGCTGCTAAAAGACAACAATTTAGATAGACAGACAACCAGATAGATAGATAGATAGATAGAGTTGGGGATGTTGAAGCATATATAATAGTAACCATAGAGTGAACCTTGCCTTTTGGGCTTTTAAATGTAACTTTTTCAAATCAAAAGTCAATTGTTTTTGTTTTATATTCAGTTGTTTCTCATCACCGGCACAGCTCCAGTGATTTCAGAGGAACCTCGGACATGCAGCAGCAGCCCATAATTCATTTAGTACAAAAAACAATGCGTAATGTGCCGCCGCCTTGAGCGCGCATTGTCCTCTGTGAGAGAGGTT